AGACTATATCTCACAGTCCCATTGATTCCTACCCGGCCGTAACGGAGCATTGTCATGACACGCACTACGTCACTTGCGATCACTCGACGTGGCTTGAGACGCTTCCCTTTCGCTCTAACTCTGCCACCCGCGACTCCAGATCGTGCGAATCGAAATCCTTCATGTTCATGGACGGTACGAACAGGGGTGCGTTCGTGAACAGATAGTTCATCTCCTCCAACGGACGCTTGGCAGTCTCAGGCTGGAAAGCCCAGAAAAATATCGCATTGGTCAAGTTGCAGACCACCTGCCCAATGTCAGTAGGTACAACGACAGGGACATGACGCGCAACTTACAAAGAGTATGTAGTAGTGCCATCCCACGGAGTCCAAAGCAATAGGCGTAACTCTAGCACGCATTGTCAGCTTTCACCGCAGCTGATAAGGGTTGGGTTTGACTTACTGCCCGATAAGCGTGTTGAAAGCGAAGCTGACCATACAGCCTATGCTCACGCCCTTAGCACGAGTGCGAGTATCGAAGATCTCGGCCGGCACGATCCAAGACAGCGGACCATTGGTGAGCGAGAACGAGAAGTTGTAGACCCAGGTCATGATAATGAAGCCCCATCCAGCGCCAAGGTTGTTTGAAGTTCCAGGGGGATATGAAGCCAGCAACGCGGTAGCAACGATGAACGTTACGCAGTTCCCCAGGTTACCACCGATCATAGCCCACCGACGACCGCTCCAGTCGATGAAGAGGATGCAGAGAAATTGAGCGATCAAAGCAATGACCGAGTTGATGCCTTGGTACTTCAAGGTGTCGTTCGTGGCGATGCCGATCTGCGCAAAGATAGCTGGGCTGTAATACTGAATTGCGGAGACTCCAGTCATCTGGATCGAGGCCTGGATTGCGCAAGCCAGGATGAGCCGGCGGAAGGAACTCTTGTTCGTGAAGAGTTCGGCATACGACTTGGCCTCGTGTTCGTGTTCGTATGTGATCATATCCTGGATTTGTTGAAACTCGGCTTGAACCCAAGCGTCATTCTCGTCTCCGTGGGCGTGCAGCTTGGCGAGGGTGCGTAGGCCTTCATCTGCCCTTCCGTGGTCGATAAGCCATCTGGAGAGGTCAGCATATTGTCCCGCGAGACCGATCGATATCGGCAACCATACCTTGGAGACTCCGGGAACAGCAAGATCAACATTGCCAGGAACCCAGCTGGAACGATCTGGCAACCCAGCGAGATCCTCCACTGCTTCGAACTTGTTGCTGGGAAGCTAACGTAGCAACCGTACGCTGCCCAGGAGGCCACCAGAGCGCCGATGCCCAACATGAATTGCTGCAAAGCAGTCACACGCCCGCGAATAGACGGATGAGCCAGTTCTCCTTGGTAGACGGGAATGATCATAACGAGGAAACCAACTCCTAAGCCAGCAATGCCTGCAACATGTTAGCGTCACTAGACACATTGGACGAATCTGCACCACTTACATCGACCAGCATACAAAAATTCCAGGTTCTGCGCACCGGTCTGGAGCCCACCACCCAGGATGAAGATGACAGCTCCGATCAGGATAGTGTACTTCCTTCCTAGCCAATCGCCGACTGGTCCAGCGAGGCCTGATCCGAAAAATGCACCGCCGGTAAACAAGGAGACGACGGCTCCAACCTCAGCAGCAGTGGGATTGAACGTGGCTTTGAAGTTGTCGGACGCAACGGCCCCTCCAATGACACCAAGATCGTAGCCATAGAGCACAGATCCCAGGGAGGCGAAGAGAGCGACCAGGAACTGTGATATATGTCAGCCAGGATCGTTGTAAAGACGCTCAATGGGTACTAACCTGGTACCACTTGGGAGGGAGAGCCATCTTTGCTTGAGGTATGATATCGGAACGGAATGGACGAGGAGAAGGAGACTTATTATACTGCTCTGGACGTTCTGGACTTATTACTGTGCAGCCCTGCACGTCTGATGTTGGTCCTCGGCATGTGCACGTCCGCCAGCAGCGCGTGGCGTTCGTGTCGTGCATCTATCACGCGGAGAGTAGTGGAGATCTCCATGTGGAGGAGCTGGTGGTTTCGGCAGTGAAGAAACACCATCTCGTGTGGACGATAAGGAGCCATACGCATGGTCTGCTCCGTCAGAGTGTCGGGCACATTTCACCAGTCCACTTCCAGACTCCAGACATCCTCTACTGCAACCAGACCTCAATCATCTTGAAGAGACATTGAAGAACTCGGGAAGATCCGATGAGGCGCCAGATTTAAGCTTCACTGCGGAGGAAATCAAGCCGGGCTCAATGCCGAATGCGTTCCCAAGTTCTTCCACCAGTCAGATCAGTCAGAGCAGTCAGATATCGGCTGCTTGGCCCACCCTGCCAAGCCAGTGACTTGGCTGTCTAGCATCCACCTCGACCACACTCCACCGTGAGCAGCTTGACTAGGAGAGATCAAGTGGATAAGCCGCACACTGTCCATAAGAGCCTGGACGATAAGCCCTTTGCAAACATTGCAGTTCCGTCCTCGCGGCCATGACCACTTTCACCAAGCTCCCTGCAGGCGAACAGCCCAGTATATCTGTATACCCTTCGCACAAGTTGAGCAAGATTAACGACAACATCTATGGAGGATTCACAGAGCACATGGGACGGTACTCTATCAACCAAATACCGTCAACACTTCACGTTCTAAATGTGATTCAGGTGCATTTATGGCGGGTTGTATGATCCTCAAAACCCCAACAAGAACCTGATCGATGAGAATGGCTTCCGTAAGGACGTGATCGAGGCTATGAAGGAGCTCAACGTCCCAGTCGTTCGGTATCCAGGTGGCAACTTCGTCGCAACTTACCACTGGCTTGATGGTGTTGGGCCTCGCGAGAAGCGTCCGCGGCGACCTGAATTGGCATGGTTGGGCGTTGAGAGCAACGAAATTGGCACTGATGAGTTCATGCAATGGTGTGAGATCGTTGGGACGGAGCCATACCTGGCATTGAACTTTGGAACTGGTGCGCTTATTCGGTTTATTGATGTTTTGAGTTTCGATTGTTGATCGTTGGCAGGTACACTTGACGAAGGTGAGATCTTATCACTCCACTGACGTGGATCTTTTGCTGAGTATCACAGCTCTCGCATGGCTTGAGTACTGCAACTCGACGCAGGACACCTACTACGCCAATCTCCGCCGCAAGCATGGCCGCGAAGAGCCGTACAACGTCAAGTACTGGGCGTTGGGGAATGGTAAGGATGACGTTCAAGATAGCTCGTGGGAGACTAATACTGATATCCGCAACAGAGTGTTGGGGTCCTTGGCAGGTCGAGCAGGTCGGCCACCCAGATCATATAATCCAAACGGCAGTACAGCTGACTTATATCAGATGACGAAAGAAGACTACGCAAAGAAAGCATACCAATGGGCTAAAGCACTCAAGCTGACAGATCCTTCAATCGAACTCATCCTTTGCGGAGAGACCGGACTTTCATCCTGGGACTTCTATGTGCTGAAAGAATGTGTCAAATTCGACACACACTCTCTGGGTGGCAGCACCACGGCAAGTCTCATCGACATGCACAGCATCCACATCTACACTGCTTGCGAGACGGATCCGCTCCAGAACGCCATTGCTCCGCGCTCAGCCGAGCGTGCCATCGAGATTGCGGCCAGCTTGATCGATCTGGCGCGGATAGAGAACGGTGTTCCGCCCAGCGTTCCTCGACAAACAATCTGCTTCGACGAGTGGAATGTGTGGGATCCAAGCAGAGCTCCAGGTGACAAGGGCGCAGAGGAGAAGTACACGCTTTCCGATGCTCTCGCTGTGGCAGTCTGGTTGAATGTGTTCATTCGGCAAAGCAGGTACGTTGGCATGGCGAATATTGCGCAGAGTGTCAATGTCATTTCGCCACTCATGACAACCAAAGATGGGCTTATGAAACAGACGACTTGGTGGCCACTGTTGCTCTTCAGCAAGTACATGCGTGGAACGACGATAGCGACGCACGTTAGCTGTGGTGCGTATGAGGGCCCGACGACTCCAGCGTGGCAGCAGTCTACTGTCGACTCGCCGTGGCTGGATGTTTCCGCTACAATCAGCGATGACCGCTGGGTGAGCTTCGTTATTGTCAATGTGCATCAAACAGATACGTTCGAGATTGACGTTGCCGGCGTCAGGGAGGGTGAGGTCAAGAAGTATGTTGTATCTGGTCCGAGTTGGGACGTGGTCAACACCGAGAGCGAGCAGAAAGTGGGTATCGAAGAGAGCGAGTGGGATGGCAAAGGGAAGCTTCACTTACCGAAGATGAGCATGACTATGCTGCGGTGGAAGCAGTGAGAGCTACACTGAAGTAAAGTACGACGCGCAAGTACAGGCAAATAGACTAGAGCTTCAAGGCACCGGAGGTAGCTCGCCTCGTTCCTAACACCAAGCCATCGATCCAAATGTTTCCTGACGGACCCCTCTCAAGATCAAAGCTTTCGCCCTCGAACCCTTCAACGCATCACCGCAAGGGCTAAGCGCACAGGAAAGATCATAGTACAGGCAGCCGTAAAACCAGCAACACAACAGCCATCCGCCTCAAGCAATCGACTCGATACGAGCGAATCCAGCTGGCGCCAGGCGTATCCTCCCACTGGCTTCCTTAGCTTTGCACTATGATAATACCCCAGGACCAAAAGAGCCATCCGCTCGACAGATGCAAGCAAAACAAAAGTGTTTGCTAAGAAAGCAGTGTACGGACGAAGATGGGTTCGAACCACCATCACCATGCCGAATTGTCCACGCAGGTTATTCAATTGTTACAATTGGACATCCCCGTGCGCTTGCCACTGATCTTCAGTTTCCAGACAATTGTACATGGTATCTTCATCCACTTGAGACCATTCGTCCAGTGTGTGAGAGCGACAGAAGAGCAATTATGTATGCTTGACTTCTTGGCCGTGGTCCCGCCGAGAGCCTAGACGAGCATGTTCGAGCCCGACAAGTGTAATGAGTAGAGTGAAGTGTGTCAGCATAGCAGCAAAAGAAGTTCTGGATGAAAGCGGAATCGAACCACTATCACAAACCCGTTCAATTTCCCTACTAAGGAGAGTATCTTAACCATTGAGACCACTCACCCCTTTCTCCTTGTCTCCAGACTTGAATAATTCTATTCCCTGTTGACAACACCGCCGTACTTCTACCGGGGGGCGCTGACCCGAGAGTGCTCTCGGCCAGGCTCGAAAGTGCAAAAGGATACGGATGAGAGCGGAGTCGAACCACTATCACGTATGCGCACTAGCGAACCAGTCAGAGCCCAGAGGACTGACTAGACGCACATTTCAGCCTTACGTATCTTACCATTGAGACCACTCACCCCAGGTTACCTGCTTTGTCTCTTCCCCTTATACTGTGAAGAAGCAGGCCGTCGTAGAGTAGGCACCCAGGTTTTCTTTGTCTGTGAATGGCTTGGACAGGGCCCGGTTGGTGAATGCTCAGCTAAGGGCCGCTGCTCGACTCCTGTCTCTACGGACCTTCATCGGTTCTGCATCACTGGTCTAGCGCCTAGCATGAGAGTTCTACCCCATTATTGGCCAAACCGTATGCCTACCAGCTTGCATGCCCCGGACATAGAAGCGTGGATGTGGTGACTGTGCTGATAGGACAAATAAACCAGTACTGCATTGGGCATCGAGTGCACAGAAGAAGCCGAAGTGCACCATAAGACCCGCGAGACCAGCTCCCAGTGCTCATAACTCCAGACGGGCAAAATGCTGCTCACGTGGCCTATCAGTAGCACATTGTGTGTGATGGATGGAAAGCTATGTCTGGAGTTCAGCAGATCTTCTCAGCTTCCCATCTACCTACTGTACATCCCCCCCACACCAGCCAGCGCCCAGCTCCGTCGAACGCCCAGAGCTATGCAATACACATGTCTTCACGGCTCAAACCCCTTCTTCTCCGTGACAGCGGATCAGAGGTTAGTCAAGTAATCCTCAATCTCACTCGGACTCAGCGTCCTAAACCGCGGCCCTTGCGCTCCCTCGACCCCCTCGTAGCCTAGGAGGTGATCGGCTGGTGGACCTACGATACCTGTACACAACACCACACATTAGCAAATCGGATTACAATACCCACACATCCCACACGAGGGAGGAAAGTGGAACTCACCAATTTCAACCGTATCCCCATTCATCTCCCCCTCAATCGTCTCCTTGAGCGTCAACAGGGCAATGTGCACCGCATCCTCCAACTCCAAACCCTCGGTATACCGCTTCTCCAGAAAAGTCTTCGCACTCGTCGCACTCTTGCCAATCGCCGTAGCCTTCCAGGGAAAGTAACTCCCACTCGGATCGACCTGATACAGACTCGGCCCACCCTTCAACGTCCCCCCAGTCTTGCCCGTAATCTTCTTCTTCTCCCCGTCGTCCACGTCCATGCTATCATCGCCACCGGCCTTCGGCGCGCTCTCGGCAGGGTTGTCGCTCTCCGCCTCCACGCCCTCATCATACCCAGCCACAAGTAGTGAAACACCATACGGCCTCACCCCTCCACTCTGCGTAGCCTCCTGCATCACCCGCGCCACATCTTGCACCAATATCCTCGTAGGCGGGTACTCATTATACACCCTCTTGTACCCCGTATGCGCCACCTTCCTCGCCTTATCAACCAAGACTCTATAATCCGGCCCCATTCCCGAGTAGACCATGCCGATGTTGGGGGTTATGAGGGAGATTTTGGAGGAAGAGGAGGCGTCGATGAGGGGGGTGGAGGACTTTTTTTCCGTGGCGAGGACGATGCCGGTGCGGGCTTTGATGCCGAGGGATGTTACGCCTTGGTTTACGGCTGCTAGGGCGTATTCTATCTCTCATGTTAGACAAGAACTTTGTTTCAAGTGTTGACGAGGTCGACGTGCCTATTTGGACGAGTTTGCCGGAGGGGGAGAAGGTGGTGAGGGAGAAGGAGTATCTGGTTGGAGCATTAGGTGAGAGTTCATCGCTTGTTGGCGGTGAGGTGGAGGATGTGTGTACCTGTCCGCCATGATGGGCGACGCTCGACTGGGAATATGTTCAGGTTGGATTCAGTATCGTCGTCGTTGTTGTTTGGTTGCGACTGGAAAGTTGATGTGTTTGACTTGACGAGCTCGTAGGCACCGCGAAGCAACGCGTTCGAGCTCTATGCGGAAAGATCCGCTTCGCCAAGAGATATGAGAGATCGACAACGACGAACAACGTTGATGAGATGCAGGCAATCACGAGTGTTGAAGAGTATGGTAGAGTATTGAATACGAGGTAGCTCAAATGAAGGCTCTCTGGTCTTTTCACAAGCCTGGCCGACTCCAAGCATTCATCCATGCGATCGCCACCTCCCCATGCATGGTCATCTACCTTCCACCCGTGCCATCAGTCTTCGGCGGCTTCTCAGGCCCAAACACCGGCTTTCCTTCAGTCCTCTCATCGGGCAAGTCCTTCAACAAGCCTGCACAACGCTCATACAGCTCCTTGGCTGTTGGCTCCACCATCGTCTCATTGAACTCGATCGGCGTCCCACCCTTTTTTCCGGCGGCGAGAACGTCGCCGACGGTCATCACAGGACCGATTGGGACGCTGGGAAGACGCTGCCAAACGTATATGTTAGACTAAGTTTCGCAGATGTTCGGATTGGCATTGCAATGTTGCTGGGTAATGTGTGAGATTGAACACTTGCGTAGACCTACCAGGCCGCACGATCTGGTGAAATCTTGGGGATGGTGGAACTTGGGATCTCTGGACGGCGAGTATTTGGTCTGCTTGGGCTTGATCGCTTTGTTAGCAGTGTGTTTGATGCTGATGTTAGAGCTCTCGTACCTTCTGCCCTTCTTTGGTATCACGGGTGGACATTCTGTCGTGATGAGTGACAGTCGTGTGATTTTGCGATACGAAGTCTGCGATTGGGTGACGTAAAAACGAGATGGAGAAGAGAGAGATAGATGTAAGTATGAGCCAACCTGCGGCGGGTTTGCTGAAACACACCGTTCATTTTATTGGACGTGTTTTCCTGCATGTGGCCGTCGATACGCGCTCGAAAACCGACACATAACGCGCATTCGTATGCGCGACCTGTCCATTTCTGCAGGCTGCCGTGGCCAATCCATAGACTCGGTACCTCGCCCTTTCGTGTTGATGGTCACCTGCAAGCATTCCAAGGAGAACGAGTAATATGACTCTGATGGGATGGCTCTTTTGAAGGTCTTGGCTGCACTGTTGCGCTGCTCCCTCATCGTAAAGGCTGCCTAGGAACGTCGTATCGTGAAGTCTGCATCTACTGTATGCGGTCGTGCGCAGGGCCACGGCACATTGCAGCTTCGCGACCTGAAGTGGTCATCTGCATGAGCACCTGGTGAGATTGGCTCGTTACCATGGCCTGGTGCATACGGCATAGCAGCATGCCTCTGGTGTCCGTAGAATAGAATTCTCGGTATACCCAGTTCTTGGACGCCGTTCGATGGGTAAGCTTGTAAAGGCACATCATCCATCCTTTGAGAGACGTCCGAAAGGTGTCGGAAAGAAACTATTTGGCGATGATTGTCCTTGTTTGGTCTGGTCCTGCACGTCTGTCGTCTGCGCGACATTCAATGCCAAGACGGACACCGGCAAGATCCGCAAGCCGAGGAACACATCGCAGCTTCCTTCCAACCTCACCCGTTACAAAGCACGACCTTTCACGTTGTTGAACCACGCGATGCAAACACTTCTTGGTCGGCTTGCACTCGCAGGACCGAGAATCTACGAAGGCGGTTGAGCTTGTGCACTACTTGCTATCGATCATCCCTTCCCATACCGCTCGCCACCGAGCAGCTACTCAACATGGCAGCCTACAGTACCGGAGCCAGCTGGGGTTTCCAGGACTTACCCGGCAACGACACGCCCGGCGGCTGGACCCAGGACGACGTCGACGAGCAGATCTACGCCGAGACCAAGACGGAGCCAAAGCAGGAGGCCGACATCAAGACTGAAGAACCTTCTTCACCACCACCCCAGCAGCCTCACCAACGCACCCACTGGCCCTCCCGAACCTGCCGCATCTGTCTCGAAGTCGTCGAGCCAACACTCCACACGGACGACGCAACTCCCAACATTGTCCCGGAAGCCCTGCGCCCAGCACCACGCGTGACCTACGAATCCCCACCAGGCGACGGTGGGAGACTACTGCGACCATGCCACTGTAAAGGCAGCCAGAAGTACGTACACACGGACTGCCTCACCGCCTGGCGTCTGCAAGATCCCCTACAGAAGAGGAATTACTGGGAATGTCCGACGTGTCGCTACAAGTACCGCCTCTCTCGCCTAACCTGGGGACGATGGGTCGGGAGTACGTTATCGCAAATCGCGTTGACTGTTCTGATCTTCGTGACGGGTATGTTCGTGTTGGGATTTGTGGCGGATCCGATTATCAATTTATATCTTGACCCCGTGTCTACCATCTACACTCGTGGAGGACCGGGCGGGAGTTTGTTGTTTGAGGACGAGCCGGCTTCGTGGGGTGAGCATTTCTTGAAAGGCTTTGCGTCGATTGGGTTGCTGGGGTTTGCGAAATTCTTGCTTACCTTGTCTCCGTGGCATTGGTTCAATATGCGCGGGACGGGTATCGCGATGCATCGTTCTGGAGGTGTGGGAGGGAATGGGAGAGATCGCTTGGCGGGGTTGAATTGGTTGGCTGTGATTGTGGGCGTGGCGACGGTGATGTGGGCTGTTTGGAAGATGGTCAGGTCTTTCTCGAGGAGAGTGTTGGAGAAGGCGGGTGAAAATGTTATGGATGTGCCTGCGACTGAGGGTGAGGAAGATGAAGACGATTGATTGGAGAACAGCACCACACGAGTTCATGGGTTCTTTTTACTGCTTATGATGTGACAGGATACGCACGATCATCAGCCCAAGCTATCTTCCAAGATCCCTCCCATTTCTTTCTCCGCCACGAACGCCACATCCTTTCTGATCTCCTCACCGCACACGCCATCTTACATCCCTCTCCACAAACCCAACGCACGAACATTAAGTTGTCACCGCCCCCTCATCTCCACTGGGAGCTCTGAGAAACCCATGGCGTGCCAATGTGTCACCGTGCGCAGAGTAATACCCGCGGTCTCCTTTCTGGTCGGTG